TTATAAAAATAAATAATAATAAAAATTCTTTTTTAAAATCTTTGCATGGCGTAAACCAAACATTTCGTCACCTAAACCAATTTGTTTTTGTTTTTTATTTTGTATGCATAACACTTAAGAAATTAAACGGTATATATATTTTTATTAAGTAGCTTTAAATTTATTATTTTAGATCGGATCGGATTTTTATTAGAAAAATATATTATTGTTGTTCGAATTGGGTTTTTGTTAGAAAATATATTTTTTAAATTGACGATCGAATTAGTTCATTGTGTTCATATAGGGTCAAGGAGTGTAGCTGTAAAAAAATCATCAAAATCGGAGTTAAAATAACTGTTAAATCGTGATTTTTCATTTATAACCGTCGAAAAGTTTTGTCCCATTACTTGATCTCTAAATGTTTATTTTTTCCGATTTTTGGCATATATGATTTCGAAGTATAAACAAACAAGTTTGACAGTTGGATCGTTGAAAGTAGTTTTGTTGAATGCATATGCCATCAAAACAATATATTCACTAACAATTAGGAGTTTATTTATACTTTCGTTAAATATAACATAAGATTTTGTGGTATCCACTAGTGTAAATATTTTAAATTGAAGATCAAATTCAGTAATTGTATTCATATAGGGTCAATGAGTGTAGCTGTAAAAAATCATCAAAATCGGAGTTAAAATAACCATTAAATCATGATTTTTTGTTTATAACCGTCGAAAAGTTTTGTCCCGTTACTTGATCTCTGAATGTTTAATTTTTTTTATTTTTGGCGTATATGATCTCGAAGTATAAACAAACAAGTTTAACGGTTGGATCGTTCAAACTAGTTTCGTAGAATGCGTATGCCATCAAAACAATATATTCACTAACAATTAAGAGTTTATTTATACTTTCGTTAAATATAATATAAGATTTTGTGGTATCCACTAGTGTAAATATTTTAAATTGAAGATCAAATTCAGTCATTGTATTCATATAGGGTAAAAGAGTGTAGCGGTAAAAAAATCATCAAAATCGGAGTTAAAATAACCGTTAAATCATTAGTTTTCATTTATAACCGTCGAAAAGTTTTGTCCCGTTACTTGATCTCTGAATGTTTATTTTTTCCGATTTTTGGCATTTATGATCTCAAAGTATAAACAAACAAGTTTGACGGTTGGATCTTTGAAACTAGTTTCATAGAATGCATATGCCATCAAAACAATATATTCACTAACAATTAAGAGTTTATTTATACTTTTGTTAAATATAACATAAGATTTTTTGGTATCCACTAGTGTAAATATTTTAAATTGACGATCGAATTAGTTCATTGTATTCATATAGGGTCAAGGAGTGTAGCTGTAAAAAAATCATCAAAATCGGAGTTAAAATAACTGTTAAATCGTGATTTTTCATTTATAACCATTGAAATTTTTTGTCCTGTTACTTGATCTTTGAATGTTTATTTTTTCCGATTTTTGGCGTATATGATCTCGAAGTATAAACAAATAAGTTTGACGGTTGAATCGTTGAAACTAGTTTTGTTGAATGAGTATGCCATCAAAACAATATATTCACTAACAATTAGGAGTTTATTTATACTTTTGTTAAATATAACATAAGATTTTGTGGTATCCACTGGTGTAAATATTTTAAATTGACGATCGAATTAGTTCATTGTATTCATATAGGGTCAAGGAGCGTAGCTATAAAAAATCATCAAAATCGGAGTTAAAATAGCCGTTAAATCGTGATTTTTCATTTATAACAGTTGAAATTTTTTGTCCCGTTATTACTAGGTCTCTGAATGTTTGTTTTTTGCGATTTTTGGGGTATACGATCTTGAAATATATACAAACAAGTCTGATGGTTGGATCGTTGAATGGTGTGTGTATATATATATTTATTATCTTATTAAGTAGCTTTAAATTTATTTATTTTGTACGTATAACACTTAAGAAATTGAATAGTATATACATTTATTAAGTAGCTTTAACCTTATTTATATTTTAAATCGTAAAATAAAATGATTTTATTTTTTATTATTCATAACAATTATTTTTATAAATATTGTGCTACAAACCAATGTTTCGTCTCTCAAAAGTTTGCACGACCAACAGTTCGTCGCGCAAAACTCTAAAAATTTGGGCGGGTACAAAAAATGGGACGCGGGATTTAAAAATATATATATATATATATTTAGACTTTGCACGACCAATATTTTGTGTCGCTCAAAACTTTGCGCGACCAATATATATTTTTCGTCGTGCAAAAATTTGGGTGGGTACCAAAAATGGGATGTGGGATTTTTTTATATAATTTTTTTTAGACTTTGCGTGACCAATATGTATTTTTCGTCGCACAAAAATTTAAAATTTTGGGCGGGTACCAAAAATGGGACACAGGATTTTTTATATAATTTTTTTTAGACTTTGCACGACCAATATGTATTTTTTGTCGCGCAAAAATTTAAAAATTTGGGCGGGTATCAAAAATGGGTTTTTTTTTTTTACACTAATATTCATCGCGCAAAGTGATACGTTTTTAAAATGAAAATAACTCCTCCACCATTTTCTCAATGTCTTTCTCTACTCTTACCTCTCCTCTCTCTTTCCCTCTCCCCAAATCCCACCATTTCTCTCACACTCACTCCTCTCACTTAATCTCTCATCATCTCTCTCTTCACTATCTCTCACTCTCACTCACTCTCTCATCTCTCTTTTCACTATCTCTCACTCTCACTCACTCTCTCATCTCTCTATCACTATCTTCTCTAATTCTCTCACACTCACTTCTCTCTTTCATTCTCACTCACTCTCAATCTTGCCAAGAGGTATATTCTCTCCAAATTTTAAATTTTTTTCATTAATATGTGTTTTTGGAGTTAGTTTTGAGTTTGTGTGGGGTTTGGGGTTGAGTAAAGGGGAGGGATTGGAGTTTGGGTTGGATTTGTGGTATAACAATTTTAGGGGAGATTATCCCTTTTTTTTCGCGACCAATGAAAAAACTTCGTCGCGCAAAGTCTTTTTTCACGATCTTTGCGCGACGGATTCTGCGCGACAAAGTTTTTGTCGCGCTGAAATTTGTGTGACTACAATATATTTTGCGCGACGAAATTCTCTTCGTCGCGCAAAGTATAAAATGTAGTAGTCTGTGTTCACGTCCATCGGGCAACTACCCGTCTTGCAGGTGCCGGTACCGCCTTGTGGAGTCACAGACATGGGCAAGTTGAAGCCATCAACAAGACTAACGTCGTAGTAATCTTGTCCTCCGCCTGCTACAATATTCAATTCCGCTAAAGTTGCCGGCGGAATGGCACCGTTACCGTTGCACGAGACCTGACCAGAGGCACAATTTGCGGTGGCGCAGACGAACTTTCCAGAGGCATCCGCGGAGCATCCAGTTTGGGCCCAGAAGCGGCCATTCCATGGCACCGGAGTGTATAGCTGGAAGCTAGCTTGGGATGCTAACTCGAACCCTGTGGTTGGTAATTGAAGTTTCCCATAGGTTAGGGTTCCTGGCCAGACCGTGTAAGGGGAATTGTTTTTTAATGAAATTGTCGCTGCATGTGCAACTGCCATGCAAAGTAAACCACACTTAATTTGATGCAGTAATCACAAACCACACTTATTGTGACCAAATATTAAATTAAAACTTTAAGAAAATAAGAAGCTTGTTTACCTCCGAAGGAAAGGATGGTTAAGCTGAGGCTGAGGACTACTACTAGGGTCTTCATCATCGGAATGTCTTAGTTTGCTTTGCTTCGAATTTGATGAACTTGGGCTTTAATTATAAGGGCTTTCATCGGAAACCATGGAAGGACTTTTGCCAGCTAGGTTGAACTTAGCCATTGTGGAAAGCAGAAAAAGGGAAGAAAATTAAAGCAAATGCAATTGCCTTGCGTCTAAAACTTTTGAGGTCCCTTCTTTATAGACCAAGTCACAGCCTCATAAGTAGATGAAGTCATAACTGATCAGGGTCTTCTTCCACCTTGTTAATTTACTTGGAGTCTTCTTCCACCTTTCCAAGTCTTTTTTATCACCCCCATAATTTGGAGCTTCTGGCACGCACATTAATTGAACATGTTTTGGTCAAGATCTTTGTAAGCTTCACATTACAAAGAAGTTAACGTCTTTTATACGGTATTTGGAGCTTCTAGCACGCACATTAATAGTGCAATTTTTCCCTTTTGCCCTTTCAACTAAAATAATGATTATTGAAGTGAAATTTTCCTGTCCTTTTCAATATCATGTCAACAATAGTATTATTTGAAGTCTTTATATCAGTCCAATTTACATTTGAATAGACAATTCAAAATTGAAGTCTAATTTCCTGTCCCTTTCAATATCATGTGAACGATAGTATTATTTGAAGGTTGTCCTCTTGTTTATATTTATTTATTTATTTTAATTTGTCAAAAGCGTAGAACTTGTTAGTATTGATTTTGTGATTGGCATTCCCTAGATACCAAATAGACTAAGTATAGATGGTAAATTAGTTGTGATGGTGGCTGTCTAAATTCCAAGATATGCTCTGAAGGCTCATATGTCGACCGACGATCACTGAGGTAAATTCTTCATTCAATCATGCATCCTGATTGTGGTATTTCAAGCATTATTTCAATATCACAATCTAATTAACATCATGATTAAGAAGACTTCTTATTTTAAGAAAGATTGATTTATTTTATAAATTGATTTCCAGTTTTGAACTCCAGCACACCACGAAGACGATGAGAAACCTCGACGACCAAACCAGCGCCAATTCCACAGAGAATGTTGTGACTGCAGACCAAAGCCTTATTTCCTAACCAAACACGAAGGGACTATGCAACTACTATATGAGTTGAACTTGAAGGCCTGTTTGGTGGACTGGATTGGATAAGACTTTTTCAATTAAAATGGATATAGGTCTAATATGTTGTTTGGTGGGCTTAATTGCATCACACACTGGCTTGGACTTAAATTCTTGTTTAGGATATGAATCCAGCATACGCTGGATATCAAAACCCACGTAGAGACATGGGTTTCGAAGACTACCTCTCGTCGTCTTCTTCGTTCGCTTCATCTCCTCTGCGTCATCTCCAGCGTCCTCTCCTCAGCGTCGTCTCTAATGTCCTCTCCTCAACGTCGTCTCCCTCAGCCACTTCTGGTCGTCTCTGCTCTCTCTCTCCTCTCCTCTCTCATCTCTCATCTCTCATCTCTCATCTCTCTTCTTCTCTCATCTCTTCTCTCTTTTGATTTTTCTTTTTTAAAATCTGATTTCTTTGTTTGTTCTTCATATTTTTCTAAGTTAGATATTGAGTGCTGTAGTTTTTTGGGTTTGATTTCTTTTGATACCTTTCATTGAAGATCTTTCAGATCTGTTCCCATCTAGAATTTGCATAATTTTATTTTTTGTTTGTATTTTCTATGATCTGAAAGTTATGTTGTAGATTTTTTTTCTTTTGTTTCAAATTACCATTTTGGTTTTGGTCTACAATCTTTTCTCTCGAATAATAAAAAAGATAGATTTGCTTATGATAGAAAAAGAATGACCATTTTTCTTTTTCTGGTTAAAAATATGAATTTTGGGTGGTTTACTATTTTGATATTGCTCCAGCGTGGGTTGATTCCTTTATGCTGGATGATCTGCTTGGTATTAGTAGAGCTCGTCTTGCTGGATGATCTGTTGTTGGGGTTTACCTTTCCTTGCCAAAAAGAAAAGATGAAGTTTATCAGATAAAGAAGAATTTTAGATTAGAAAAAAAAAAAAAAAAAAAAAAAAAAAAAAAAAAAAAGAGAGAAGAAAGAGAAGAAAAGATTTGAAGGGAAAAAAAAAGTAAAGGCATTGATGCAAAAAAGTTGGAAAATTGCATTTGATTTATTGTTTAATAAATAAAATAAAATAAAATATTGATTTATTAAAAAAAAATGTTAATTTTAGTCTATTGTTTGGTGCAAAAATGAATAGGACTGGACTCAAAGCCGAGTAGTAGCTAGCCCAATTCAATGCTTCAAAGCCCATCCTAACCACCAGCCCACCAAACGGGGCCAAAACCTCTTAGAACCAGCTATAAAACATTTGGTTTTATTTTAATCTGAATTTTTTACAATATTAAACTAGCCTCTAAGCAAAATTCCTGGAACACTTCAATGGATATTGAATATGGATGACTGACCAACATTTTGTTAATATTATATATTAAATACATCTAAATTCATCACTAACCCATAAAAATTTACTTTTCCTTTCCAAGAGAAACATCACGATTTTCTTCATCTGTCTCCGAGTGGTTTCTCTCTCTCTCTCTCTCTCTCTCTCTCTCTCTAAGCTCCACATCCAAGATTAACAAGATTTGATACATCCTTTTATCGTTTCCAAATTTCTTGACTTTATACTCTCCCATGTGATTTCTCTCTCGTCTATTATAATGTTGTATGATGAGTAAACTCAAGAATTGTTTTCTGTTAGTTATTTATTGTCCTCCACAGGGGCGGAACCACAACCAGTAAGTTTTGAACAAAAACTAATGATAAACCACAAGAAGTTGCTGCGTTTTGATTTTTTCCTTTGCAAAATCTGCTGCCTTTGGTTTTGTTTTTTCTCAAACTGCCATCTTCTTTTCTTTATCTGCCTTTTTTTTTTGGGTGAAATTATCTATTGCCTCTGGCAAAAGGTTTTTGAAGAAGAAAAAAACTTATATAGCCTACCATCAACTACAACATTAGGGAAATATTATCTCAAGTTTATTTGTATTCGTTTTCAAGAAACAGAACTCAGACAAAAAATAATAAGTAAATTTAATAAAAAAATAATATGTTAACCTTGTTCTTGTCTTTACAACTAATATATACGTAAAACTTAATTATTTATATTTTTGCACTTTAAAATATGTCAAAAATTTGCATTTTAGAAGCTTATTTGGATATTTTAATGGATTCAAACTACAAGGGTAAGATTTAAAGTTCTTGGTTCTGCCCTTGGTTCTTCACATCTGCTCCATCCAGTTGAGTTTCAATTTTTCTTTTTTCAAATTTGTAGAGCAAAAATATAGCAGATCACCTCATCGGACCCACCTACTTGAGTCTTGTATGGATTAGTGAAAAGCTTTTGAAAGCCCTAAAATAGACCTTTTCTTTTAGACTGGATCTCATAATATTTTAGGGGAGACGAAAAACTAAAGAGGGTTTATAGGAAGGTGGTGTATTGGAAGCGGGCACTGCTAAAAATAAAGGTTAATGAGCGTGAGTATACAATTAGAATAAATAAATAAAAACTTACTTGTGTTGCAACGAGAATATTAATATTTTGCAATCTTCCGACCATTAGTGTTATGCTATACATCGAAGTGTTATCACGCATGTCATAGTGTTATTGGCCAGGAATAGCAAAATAGTGTTATCTCCATTTCCAGGGATGGACTCAGGATTTCAAAATGGGGTGGACTAGATTTACCTTACATTCAAAGGTGCTAAGTAGATAGAAAACTCAACCAATACCTTGTAATTTCATTGATAACGGAAAAAAAAAAACACCTATTTAATAAGCAAGAACAATAAAATCAATTACAAATCCTATTTGATAATTCATAATTCATAAACTTAAACTGATAAGCCCCAATTGCAATCCCTAATTTATAATTCTTAAGTTTCAATTGCATATCTTAATTGATACTTCATAAACTCCAAAAAAAATCCTGAAATTAAAACATCAGCAAATTGAGAGAAGCTTGTCTGACGAATATATGAACTGTGTTTCACTTGAATTTGTTGCTCTTTCTTTTTTTCTATGTGCAAGCGTAGGGTGCTTCTTATTTTCTTTAATTTTTTGTCTACGTGTTTTGTGTGAGTTCTTTTTTCTCAATTTTTTTTCTATGTTGTGATGTGTGTGAGTTCTTTTTTTTTTTCTTATCTTTTTATTGACTACATGTTGTTCAAGGAGGAGACTTAAAGGAGGCTAGGTTATTTAAATTGAGTGAGGTAGGAAATTTTTTTTGGCTGAAAAATTTAAAGGCCACCTTGGGCTCTCACTCAATTTTTTTTGGCTGAAAAAATTAAAGGCCACTTTGGGCTATAGCCCAAGTTAGCCAAACTTAGAGTTCATCCCTGCCCATTTCAAGGAAGTCTTTCTCCACCCACAAATCTTAGCATCTCATTTTTTGTTTCATTTTTCAATTGATTTATTATTGAGAACAACGGCTAAATGAGTAAACATATTGAGACAGGTCAAAATCATAAGAAATGTCCTTGCCTTAAGAAGTAGATAAATAATGGCAATGTAAAGAAGTAGACTTGGCAAATCATATACTTCAGTTTATAGGCCAAATATGGCATCTACATTTAAGAATTATTGAATCACAAAAAGGTATCCTCTTTGTCTTCACTAGGGTTTACAAAGTAACCCTATATTTATTACGGTTAAATTGCTTTAAAAAGGTGTCTCTGAGATCTCAGAGTACACTAGAATTTCAACTCTTAGTTGAAATCAATGGGACACACAAGCTCTTTGTTTGGGAAAAAGAGCCCAAAATGCTTCTCTGTTGGTTTCCCATTCTTCTCATTCTCATTAAACATGGGAAACACGTAGGTTTCTATGGAGCTTCTGAAATCGGTACTTAAGTATAAGGGGGTAAATTAAAAGCTACTTTAAAGACTTACCAATTACACAAATTATAGCTTAACCTGATATCAATATGACTAGTCAACAAAGAGTCATAGACTAGTAACAATCACACACACAGAGTAAACAATCAATACCTGCAACCTAGAAAATCACTAGTGACAACCTAGGCACTCAAAATGACCCATCAATCTAGGCATTCCCTGTGCTAGCAACAACTAAGGTGAGATGTGTGTGTGAATACATCAAGAACAAGTATATAGCATCATTCAGATGATGACTAGTCAACAGCAAGAACACAAACTGAAAATACCTGTAGGATGACTAAAAATGCCTAGAGGAGGGTGAATAGGCCAATTTAAGATTATAATCAAATAAATAAAAATAAACTTCAGTAGCAAGATTGATATGGCTTATCAATCCTGAAACGTGTTGGACATAAAATAAACAAACACGCAGAGAATTATTTTACGTGGTAAAACCCCACCTCTGGGGAAAATTCACGGGACTCCTCAGTCCAACACAAATCCACTACAGAACGATGATTACAAGAAGTACTCACACACTTATCCTAGACACATTCTAGATAATGTTTACCGACTTCTTCGTAACTCAACTTCTATCACGGGATGATCTTCGACACTCCTTATGTTAAACGCAATACTGGCCATGATTGCTTCAAGCTCGCCGGAGGAAAACCGCCACCACGATCTTGGTGCCCTCAACCGTATGAGTCACCGACATGCATATGAATGCAATATGAATGATGAAAGTGTATGATAAATCACCAAGTAAACAAGGAACACTTGATGACTTATCTGAAAAATATGTGCAGGAGCTTTTTCTTAAAAAATCAATCTATACAAAACCAAATGTGTTGAAAGCTCAGTATATGAAAATAAAGACCCACGTTTTATTCAAAGCAAGTTCTCCCTAGTAAGAGAGAAACCCAATAGTCCAACAATTCTATTCAATTGTGATTCTCAAACTTGATCCCATATGGACTCAAGTCAATCACGTCAAAACAAAAGACACACTACTATGCCATTATGAATTACTTTGATTCAATATCAACTTCCTGTAAGGACGCCAAACATGAGACTACAAATAGTATCAATCATGAATATCAATTTCGATCTAGTATGGACTCTAAATGACGATGCCAAACAACCAATTTTTGTGGGAGAAACAATATCTCCTAAAACAAACTAATTAGACCAATCAAGTAAGAGATGAGCAACGTGCAAGTCATAGCAGGAAAAGATAAAACTTAAATCAAAATAAAGTCCAACTAGGAAAGTAATATCAAGAGATAAAATCTAATCCTATTAAAAATAAGATTAAGATAAAAATACTTTGAGTGAAAATAACTTCAATTAGGAATCCTATAATGAATGCATGATTATCAAAGCAATCTTTTTTTCCAAATTTAGCAAACCTTAAGCTAGTTCTTCATGGCAATGGCAGCTTCCTCCTCAGCTCCTTCATCCCATGGCACTGGTAGCTCAGCTCCAATCAGAACAGGAACACGAAATTTGGATTCAAAATGAAATGACCAATTTCTTCAAGAGACCATACTCCTTAAGAAATCAATCTAGAATCTGACCTAGAACTATATGAGTATGTGTTTGATTTAACTAGATGCAGATTTCATTTTCAAAGCAGATTTCAAAATCAATTTGGAAAACTCATTTATGAAAAGATGGAGAAATCACTTCCAAATAAAAGGAGAGCAAAGGAGGAGTACCTCACAACCTCTCAAAATCACATTTTCTGAAGTGACGACTCAAAAGGAATGAAGGGACCATTTACCCAAAATTCCTAGGTCTGAAATAAACAGATGGCAGCAGAAGAATATCAGAGAATAAGATAAAATTTATTAGGACCCAGCTGGAAAAACGAAATGAGCTGACAAACTTCATGATGCACAAAAAATGACTAGTCAAACGCATACAAGTTGACTAGTATTTTTTAGTCTTCTTCCATCTAATGAAATTTGGTTATTTGTAAGCTTCACATTACAAAGAACGTCTTTTATATGGTATTTAATTTATATATAACTTAAGTTCTTGAATTCACATTCCAAAACTAAACTTTACTACTCTTGAACAATTTTTCCCTTTTTCCCTTTCAACTAAAATAATGATTATTGAAGTCAAATTTTCCTATCCTTTTCAATATCATGTGAACAATAGTATTATTTGAAGTCCTTAAGTTTAATTTACGTTTGAACAGACGATTCGAAATTGAAGTTTAATTTCCGTGTACAACACGGTTGTTCTCTATTTTTTCTTTTTTCTTTTTTAATTTATCAAAAGGGTAGGACTTGATTGAGAAAACTAGCAAAGTAGTACATCAACTTCTAGTAAGCAAGAATCACAAACGGTGGAGGAGCCATAATGTAACATCGTTAAAACCTTGCCTTAAAAAAACTCTAAAGAAGCCTAACACAAACGATTGCCCTCTTGTTTTGATATTTGAATACTAATAAGCCTAACAAATCCAAGAAATTATAATTATAGATTGCCCAACATGCATGTATGCTTTTGTCCTCTAGCAGGAGAGAAAAAGAATCGATCAATGCATCTTTTCATGCATGACATGCGGTTCTCAGCAATTAAGTCAAGCCGCCCAGGTCCAAGTCCAGAAGTATCACTTCATGACCGCCACTTTGGCTATGATTGCTGTCATTTAGCAAATGGTCAAAACACTCGTCGGGTTTCTAGATGGATTCATTTGGGGTCGTATGTTACTCATCAATACTTACAAAATGATTAAAGAAAATCATGAATACTTCAAAACTCATAAAGAAATATAGTCACAAAACCACTCATATGCACAATACATTATCAAGTTGTATGTATTATTGTATGTCTTTATCTCGTCATAATCGGGATACTCGGGAAATCTTTTCTTCTTCATATTATTGTATGTGTGATCATGCCATATTCGTGTTTGCACATAGAGGAAGGTGGTGGAAGAGAGGATGGAGGAATAAAGCAGAACGTAGGAATTAAAAACTTGAAAATGAAAACACCTCAAAATTGTTTTCAATTCTTAGTTTTCACGTGATGCACCATGTCACACACATTTCTTCTACATTCTCACCCTTTTTCATCTTTCTTTTATACCATATATTTCCCATTTATCTCTAGAAAAGAAAAAAAATAGAAGCGAAATAGCTACAAGCGGACCTTAGTTACTCTGCCTGCCCTCTACGATTTTGTCCATTTTTCCCCTATTCATTGTTTTACTTTTTACCATTCAATTTTTTGCTTTGAAAAAAAATATTTAAACTGAGAAAAAAATACTCGTGGGCAGAGGGTCGAAACCCCCAAACACCCAATGAATATTTGTGTAACCCCAATCTCCCAATCTCTTGTACTAAACACCCACCCTAGCCAGGGTCCGCTGAAAACTTCACCGATGCACCCATTCCATACACCACTTGCCACCGGATTGAGCGACTCACTTTTCCCTGACTTGCCCCTCCCCAACCTCTGCTCTCTCAATGATGTATTTCCGTTTCTTGGCCTGAGAGTTTTCCTTTCTAGTTTCTATGTGTATCCTTATGGGTGCAGAAAGTAGTATTAAGAGTTAAGCTCAAGGTATATATTGTCCCTCAACTCAAAGAGTTGAAGGAACTAGGGTTTTTTTTTAGTACAAGTATTTGGGAAAGTGGGGTTTATACAAATATTCATTGGGTGCCTGAGAACTTTGAACCTCATCCCACACGAGTGGAGGTGGAAGAGCTCAACCAATTAAGCCATACCCTACTGGCAAAGGAAGTAGGTTAACATGTCGGTAGACAAAATAATTGAGCGACCTAGCTACTATTATATATGGATGACTTGAGAATTAAATGATGTTAATAATGTCAATATAGATGGCGTACGATCCTTGACGGAGGCCTGTGTGTGAAATTTTTTGAGAGAATTATGTGTAGGGCACACAAAGCATTATTGACTTGCTTCACTCTATTCGACTCTTGTCCTCTCCTTCTAGCTAGCCATCGAACTTTTAACATTCAGTGTGAGTAAAATGTCACGGAAAAGTATAAGGATAATCTGTGAAGAAATTAACGTAATTATTAGTCCATAAAATACAAGTATATCTCTCAAAATAGTTTGTTTGTTCGTAGTACATGATGAGCACCATAGAGACACCCTTAAAGAGCATGATTTGGCTACTTAAAATTAAGGGATCCTCCTTAAAACGAATGGACTTTGATATTTGTCAAATTCCAGTAACATTGACAAATTTTTAACCAAAAAAAAAGAATATTTAAAAAAATTGACACGTGTCAAAACCACACTTATAGTAAGGAGTTCCTCCTCAATTTTAAGGAGCCATGCTTTTTCCATTAAGATATGGATGTCCATTTTCTTGGGCATGGCTTTTTCAATGCATTAATTGCAATTTATTCTCATTAATTTTAAGGAGATCAAATTTTTGAATCACATTTGAAGATTACATGACACGACATGTGATTTAAAATGTAGATTTATTTGAAGTTGATGATTTTATCCATTTTGACATGTTATTGTACTTATCATTTGCTACTGAACCTCATTGCATCATGTGGACACCATTCGTTCACATAAAATCATTCGTAATTTTCTGTTATTATAACATAAAGAAAGAGGGGCAATATATATTTCACAAATTCTGCGTGCAATATATTTTCCAAAAATTCTTTGTGCATGACGTTAATTCTATCTTTAATTAAATACTGGACTATCAATATTCACATAGATATTTTATTGAAGTTGGCAAAAGTATATCGTTAACATATCAATATGTTTATTATTGATGATAATAATATCGATATCGACACATTATCCACTACATGTGGACAATTCTATCTTTATTGAAGATTAAATGCTTGATACATAGCCAGACTATAATAATCGACACGTTACCAATTCTATCTTTATTAAAGATCAAACGTTTAATATAGAGCCGGACTAATTATCGACACATTACATGTCTCGAGTCCTATTTTTATTAAAGATCTTGTCCTTTCTATAGTTAGATCATGGGCAGAAAGTAATGGCGTAGTTAGGTCCACCATTGCATGTAAATGTACCCTTGTTGTCATCATAAGCATAGCTGTAAGCGTTGGGGCATGCTTGACTGAATATCTGAGAGTAATTTGTCGGTGGGCATGTCTCTGGAGTGTTTTGAGGCGGAGTGCAACAGTACTGTGGCTCACCGAATTTAACACATGCGCTCAAGCAGGCAACCACGCTCCCATCGGACCCTATCTTTTGCAGCTCACTCGGACAAACTGCGTTCACGTTCGCGGGCAAGTAGCCGTCTTGCAGTCGCCGGTACCGCCTTGTGGAGTCACAGACATGGGCAAGTTGAAGCCATCAACAAGACTAACGTCGTAGAAATCTTGTCCTCCGCCTGCTGGAATATTGAATTCCGCTAAAGTTGCCGGCGGAATGGCACCGGCACCGTTGCACGTGACCTGACCAGAGGCACAGTCTGCGGTGGCACAGACGAACTTTCCAGAGGCGTCCGTGGAGCATCCAGTTCGGCCCCAGAAGCGGCCGTTCCATGGCACCGGAGTGTCTAGGCTGAAGCTAGCTTGGGATGCTAACTCGAACCCTGTGGTTGATAATTGAGGTTTTTGATCGGAGGTTAGGGTTCCTGGCCAGACCGTGTAGGGACAATTGTTTTTGAAAGACATTGTCGCTGCATGTGCACCTGCCATGCAAAGTAAACCACACTTAATTTGATGCAGTAATCACAAACCACACTTATTGTGACCAAATATTAAATTAAAATTAAAGAAAATAAGAAGCTTCGACTTTAAGAAAAGATCAATGAGTATTTCTATCGTTTGGCCAAAATAAAAAGCTTAAAGAAAATAAGAAGCTTGTTTACCTCCGAAGGAAAGGATGGTTAAGCTGAGGCTGAGGAATACTACTAGGGTCTTCATCATGGGAATATCTTTGTTTGCTTTGCTTCGAATTTGATGAGCTTCGGCTTTAGTTATATAGGCTTGGTGCGGGCCTAACTTTTTGTCCTTTTGCAGGACTATGGCTGCTGCGATGACAAGTCACAAGACAACTAGATTTATAGTTGATTTTTCGCTGAGTTTGTTTGTGGCATAGATTTATAGTCAACAAACGTAAATTTTTTATCTAGTAATTACATAATTTTGACTGTATATATAACATATTTATGACGCAATATTTACATTTAATAGGATTCAATTGGTTCTTTAAATATATAGTTGAGGGATTCATTGTGTGGCCCACTCATCATTAATTCAATGATATAAAACATCCTTGTTGATTCCATTCAAAAGTGATCTCTAAAAAAACTAAGTCATATAAGTAACCATTTCAACATTTATCCTATGATGATCAAAAGAACTAAATAAATCACTTAAATGCCACTAATATCACTTGTATAAAAAATAAAAAAATAAAAATTTATACATATCCCAGGTGGCATTTTATTGATTATCTTGCATACGTATGTAACCTTCTTATTGGACTTTTCTTCCTCAAAGACAAGTGGTGCAGATTCAAGTCTTTTTGGTCTTCTATCTTTGCAGACTCCAAGACATTCAAGTAATCTTCAACGAGTCTCAATTTTCCACAGACCAGCATTATGAAATTTGGAAGTCGTCGTTTTGCGAAATTAATTTGGCTGCAACTACCTTCAATTACTTTGGCTCATATATATTAATTTATCCACTATTACAATTTTTTTTTTCTTAAATTAAGGATACCAATATGTCCATCTACTTGGTCTACCTCCATTCCGATAAAATTGTTTATTGTGACGGATATGTTCAAGGCTTAACATTTTATATTTCTTTTTTACAAACGACAACATATTTACACGATACTTTAATTTCATCGGCTAGCTATAACTGGATATTGAACTAATCATGAATATAATTATCAACATTTATATGAGTTGAACCTCTTTTTTTTGTTTTTATCAAACGAAAAATCTTTATTACTTTCAGTAACAGTCAATATGAAATACAAAAGGACACCCAAAAAAATGGAGAAAGGAGGTGCACCTTAGTTAGCCTCGTTAACAAGGGCGGACCTACGTGTAGGCTCTACTGGGCTCCAGCCCAGTGCTGTTTTTTTGTTTTCCGCATGCAAGCTTAGTTTTACAAACCAAATTAGGGTAAATCAAATATTAGCCCACCACTTTAGGTAGAAATAAGCCCATCAATGCAACCAATCTCTACACGACAAACACACCTCTGCAAACAAACTCTACACATGTTGGTTCATGATTTAATGGAAAAGCAATTTGTGATTCGTACCAATGTTTCCAGCACAAAAGAAACCAAATTATAATTAAAAAAACTCTAACATCTATCAAGCTTATATAAAATATTTATAAAAAAAAGGCTCTAACACTTTCCTCTTTTCTTTCACCCTTTTTTCCCCCTAATGTTTCTCCTTTTCTCTCTTAATTTTTCTTCATCTCCTCTCCCCTTTCTCTAGTTATTTCCTTCTCTTTCAGTTTCTCCCTTGGTTTTAAGCTGTCATGAATTAAAAAATCATGGGAAATACGTTCTTTTGGGGTCAATTTCATCTTGGTCTAGATTGTGGGTATTGAGGTTTTATGATCAAGCCAAGATGAGTGATGGCGTGGCAGATCTGCCGCCATGACCAAAAAAAAATTTAACCCACCCCTTAAAAAATTTATGGGTCCACCATTGCTCGTTAAAACCTTGCCATGAAAACCCCCTGTGGAGGAAAATCCGGTAAAAAAAAAGAGTATCACGCACCTCCTGCAAAAAAACTAAATTTCCTCTCTATTCTCCCCAATCATAGGCCATAACCAATGTGGAGCCAATCCAGCCCAAAACAATGCCGTTGCCGGAAACCATTTGAACATTTATCCTATGATGATCAGTTTAGTCAAAAGCCTTGCCAAACTCAATCTCATTTTTCAATCAAGATTTAACTTATTCGAATTAACTAAAAATTTAACATTTAAGATATATAAATTCAAACATCAATATATAAAAATCTAAAATAAGAGGTTAAGCTTGATACATTCAAATCTAATGCATAAACAAGATAAATATTTGTAACAATTCAATCATTTCTTTTTCTTTTTTGACTTTCAAATTGTTGTTTTTTAAGGAATCATTGCTACTTGAAATCAAAAACAGTACAAGGAAATCCAATGAAATTTTAATACTTCAAATAATAAATAAAGAACAACATAACTTGGAATTTGAGAAATCCCCCTCCACAACAACAAACTTAAAACTTCCAAATTTGCAATCAGTTAGAGCTTAAAAGAGTTGAAAAACAGCCCATGTTACTTTTTTTTTCAGAAATATATTAAAAGAATATATAATAATATAATATACCTCTTTATAAAATTAAAATTTAAAAAAATTTGGGCCCCCCTAGACAGTGGACCCAAAGCAGTTGCACTGACTGCCCCTGTTCAGGGCCAGCACTAATTTCAACTTAAGAGAGGTTCTTAGTTTGCATCCTTCTTTCTGTTAATAAAAAAAAACAAACAAAGTCAAATTATTTCATTTATTTTTGTATGAATATTTTTTTTTTCAATTCTATGTATTTGTCTATTTCTTGTTTTCTGTCAAATCGTTTTTTATGAAAGATCAAATTCACATCCTTCACCAATGTAGAAAGTGTCACTCTACACTACTACATTTTACTATTTGCTCGACGATATATTGGCGATGAAGAAAAATTCATTGCACATGAAACACTTGCGCGACGTAAAAACTCATTCGTAGCACAAACTATCGCAGATAATAATTTCATATTTCTCAACTTGCATGACCAAAAAGTTTGTCGCGAAAGAACACTAAGCGCGACCATAGACGTTATCGTCACGCAAAGTTAGGAAGAAAAACGTGAGTTTATTTTATTTGGCGCCAAACACTTGAGGAATAACAGCTATCATCGCAAAAGAATACTTAGCGGGACAACATACGTTATCGTCGTGTAAGAAAAACGTGGGATTATTTTATTTGGCGCCAAATACTTGCGTAACGAAAAATACTGTCGTCGCATAAAGTTTAATGTCGGCACGTTCATGCACGACGAAAATGGTCTTTTGAGTGACAAGAATGAGCATTTGGGCAACGAAATTTGGAGCGACAAAAATGATTTCTCGTTGCATAAAATTTGGATGTCGACCCGTACCTGCACGACAAAAATGGTATTTTGGGCGACGAAATGGACCACTTGTGTGACGAAAATGAGTTTTTGCGCGACGGAAAGGAATTCGTCGTGCAAAATCCTTCGTCATATAATCGAGATTTAGCCATTGCAAAGGCAGACTGCAAAAAAAAGCTCTATCTCTGCCTCTGCCAGTGCTTCTGTTAGGAATTCACTAGGTTCAGTGGGTAAGTATTTTTTGTCGTTAGTTTGAAAGTATTAATCTAAATTCACACTAACGCTATTAATTTCGTTCTCTTTGAGGATATTATGTGTGATTAGCGATTGGTGGAGAACGATTGAGAAGGTATTTTATTCGTTTTATATTTTAAAAATATAAAACTAATTACATTACGTTAAACTTAGTTTGTTATGTTTATATTTTTTTGTGAAATTATATTTATATTATGTTGTTAAATTGTGCGTGACGTAGCACAATGTGTTGTGATGTACGAAGTTAATTTCAATTAACTTCGTACTTTTTTTTTAAAAATTTATAGTAAAACTTAGTTTCACGTTCGAGATTAGTTAGATTTCGTGCATGGATGCTAAAGTATGATTGCGGTCCAATTATTTCTTGAATTGTCTCATTATTTGGATAGTTTAGGAACGCATAGTCATGTCACGTAATTTACGGCTACAAGATTAGGTTTCGGTTGTGGAGATTTCGGTGTCATCTCTGTACGTTCTTCGGGTGGTACATAGGTATTTAATACATACGGTACACCTCAAGAACTGTATCGAGATGCTGCAAAATTCATCCACGTAGAAATCTAATCTTATGTAACCGTAAATTACATGACTATGCATTCTCGAATGGGATAGGGCCCTTACCGGAGGCATAAGGTGACGTTATGATTTTGTAAGAAGTTGTTGTGTTGTGATTATGGTTCCATGAATTATGAGCAGGAGGTGGATACAGAACCCGAATAGATGCGCAGATGAATACTTGCACGGAATCAAGGATTTGATTGACTTTGCACGTACCACAACCCGAGTGCAACTAAAATCTGGCGTCCTTGTAGGAGCTGTAACAACACGTTATGGGAGACAATTGAAAATATTCGATTTCATTTAGTAAGGAATGGAATGATTGAGACATATAACACTTGGAACCATCACAGGGAACAATTAGACAATGCTTCGTCTTCCAGGGCCACAAGAGTGGACAATGTTGAACCTATTGTGGATCCTAATGAACAAGTCATGGATATTATAAATGGTGTTTTTCTATTTGCATCGACCAACATCAATCAGGAAGGGGAAGATGACATGACATAATCTTGTCAACCACTGTGCCACCCTCACCTCCCTAAGCCTGGGCTATTGTTTCTTGACAACCATGATATCAATAGTAGTTCACATCTCTTCAAACATAAAACGCTGATGTCTCTTTCTTGTATTACTCATGTTGACAGCTTGTACAATCACCATAAGCCGAGCCTATTATGAATCGCCACGTGGCTATAACAGATCACTTATCTACCGACCCGACTATACACAAAACATGTGTAACCATCGCCGACCTTCCCAGTCGGAGGGCGACGAACCAAAGGGTTAGTCCAGTGGTCGGGTATTTAAAAGTCTACCAGACCACTAAGGCAAGCATCCCTTGGACCGAGGTGCGCTAAAAGGCCAGCATACCTAACTAAGCTCCTGTCAAGTCGATTAATTTTGTCAATACGATACACAGCCTGGCTAACAAGAAGGTTGATTCAATGCACGTCCCATCCTCAAACAGGTGTCGTCATATCCATTGATCTCCGAGTGAACAAGCAGGTGATGGACATGGATCATTTAATTCACCTCCCATCCTTGGTTGCCTATCACTTCACCACCTGACCTCTGTCCAGCTGTATGGTGATCAGAGACACAACATTCAATGCAACTTAGGCTAGGAAGACAGGAGATAAAGATATTTTCTACAAAATATCTTGATCCCTCCTTCTCCCTATAAATACCATTCACCTACACCAGGACAAAGGTAATTAATCCTCTCATTGTCAAACCCTACATCCATTCTCCCTCCTGCTCAAGTTAGTTTCTAACTTAACCATCGGAGAGGGTTAGATTGGGATCAACCCTTGGTCGCCCTTATTCTGATATCATTCGAAGTGTGCAGATCTTCTCTTGGGGATTATTCATACCCAAAGGTCAAGTACGAGCCCAAGCCCCCAGATAGAGCCAAGTTATCTATACAAGAAGGATACGCGGTTTACATTTGGCATCGTCTGTGGGAATAATTTTTCATCACAAACAGAAACTGCATCCCCTCATCCATCTGAGCACAGATACAAGCGGAACCAAGACTTGTTGAGAAATCAGCACCTCAAGAAAGGAACCTCGTCGGGTACGGCAGGGAGAAACGCCCAGAGGCGAAGAAAAGAAAGACTGAGGTCGGATCGTTTGAAAGGTCTAGAGGAGAAGATGAGCCAAATCCTAAAAGGCGTAAAAAATGAACAAAATCTCATAAATAACCTCCATGCGCAAAATGAGATACTACAGGAGAACCATGTCAACTGTTTGGCCAAGTGCATGCACAACGAGAGCTTGAGCCTACCAGCACCAAAGGTACCGATAGAGCCTCGTCATCGTCAACAGGAACTGAAACACTGAGTCAGAACGTGGCCGATGCTAGAAACATCCTGAAGAAGAAGAAAGCTTGGTGGGAGCGCAACAAACGCTTAATAGGGAACCTTCGCAAAGGGAAAAATAGGGTTAGCTCAGAGGAGGCCGAGGAAAAAGTTGACGGCATCATCTCTTGCCACGCCCCGGACCCGGGGGTAGGTGGAAATCTTGCGCCCGGTGCGTGAGAAAATGGATAAAATAAAATAAAATGAAAAGAACGCCGAAATAGGGTTTAAAATGAACTTCTCTTATAAAAATATATCCAAAATCTTACAACTTTACAATAAATAAAGCTCTAACACTCTCATCTAATTCAGCCTCAACTGGTTTATTCCATTTCTTGCTCACTAATTCATCTGAAAATTTAAACAAGGCGAGGGATGAGCAACCACAGCTCAGTAGGGACATGAGACCTTACCACAGTAGATTGATATAACTAAATTAAGTGACAAGCAATCACACAGCCAAATATCACATTAATAATAATAATGCATGAATGCTCTTCAATTTTAATCCCATTAATTCATATAATTGGACAAGCAGACCTGCACGTCCCATACCATGCTTATACCACTTGGTCCCGAATGTCCATTTATATGAACTAACACCCATTTTAATCATCCCATAATTCCCCTTTTGTTAGTCATCTTGTCTAACTCCCTTTCGCCAGTCCCGAATCACCCAATAAAATCATGTGCACTGTGGGATCCCTGAGACCTAGTACCTGCCAAGAGTTAGACTCAACTACACAAAAGATTATATCCATTACCCTCTTTTCCATTATTATCTTCTCCACCCAACAACTCCAACCAATTATCATCATATGATATAATTATGCCAACATTATTCAAATAGTTCACAATACGTAAATATAGTATATCAAGAACATTATACAATATCCCACATAATATAGAGCTCACGAAATTTAATTAGATCAATCCCTGTAAAGGCTCCCAAGAAATCCCTACCTTGTCACCAAAGCTTTTGCTAGAACTGTTAGGTGTTTCCACCGTATTCACAAACTCAGTCTTCTATTTTCTTCCAAGACTTCTTCTACTCTCTACCTCTCTTACTATCTTTCCTTCTTTCTATTTACTTTTCTTTCCGTTTCTTTCTCTCTTTGCATTTATTTCTATGCAAGTTCTGTAGAAGGTTTCCTATTTAAACAACAAGAGAGGCGGTTGGCTGGCAACAAACTTGTTATCCAAGTTTTGGATAACTACATCAAACCAATGACGGCAAGAAAAGAATACAAAATATCTTTCCTATTCTAATATTTATGATGGCCACTTGTAAGTCAATTACTATATTTGCATGTGCTAAAGCCACCTCTTACTTCTAATATTATAATTTAAACATTTAATTAATACATATATATAATAGGAAAATATATGTTATAAGATATAAATATTTATTAGTACAAAAGACAATATATATATATATTTAATTACCTATGTTATCACTTTAAATATATAACTAAATATGCAGCAAAATATTTATTCTTTATATAAATATATATTTTTTAAAAACAGGTCTCCACATCTCTCAACTCAGAGACTTGGTCACCGGCGAGTTGAGAAGTGTGTGGGATTGGCTTGGGCAAGTTGAGAAATCAAAAATGCCAATGGGATCGGAATTCACCAAGGAGGAAATCCCACTACCATACACCCAAGACCTGTTGAATGCCCGGGTGGTAGAATATTCAAAAGCTCCGAGGATCCCCTTATACGATGGTATGACTGACCCGTACGACCACTTAGACAACTTTCGCTATGCCATGGAGGGTCGTAGAGCAAATGAGGTGACCAAGTGCCGCTTGTTCCCGACAACCCTCGAAGGCCAAGCCACGAGTTGGTTCAAAGGACTCGCTCCATAATCTATTAGCTCTTTCGCCAAGCTTAGAAAGGTTTTCTTGGAAAGGTACATGATCATCTCTGATAGACTATACACCGCAAATGACTTGTCCACGATCAGACAACGGCCTAACTAGAAGCTCAGAGATTACATCACTCGGTTCAACAACGAATACACACGTTGCGAGGGATGCGATGAGGCTATAGCACACAACGCTTTGATGGGGGGGGGGACTCTAGGGAGGAGATTTCTACTTTTCCCTCACAAGGAACCCCCTAGAAATAAAAAAAAAAAAAAAAAAAAAAAAAAAAAAAAAAAAAAAAAACAAACCAAAAAAAAAACATACTACCTCCACAAACGACCTCCTCCACAAGCTACTCCCCCGCCGAGCACTGCGCCAACCTGGCAAATGAAAGGCAACTGCAGGGTCCAGTATCAGAAACCCACTCACCAAGGGAAAAAAAGCCTAATGATTATGCCTATGATTGATTGGCAAAACGAAAAAAGGGAGAGTCAGGCTCCTCGGCTAGGAGGAATAAGGTCAGACCAGAAAAGTACAACCAATACACAAATTATACCCCCCTGAACAAATCAAAGGTGGAGATATTTACAGTGATGGCAGATGAGGTCCCTAATCCAAAGAGGATAAAGTTCCCTTACCAAGGAAGAAGGGATGATAGCAAGTACTATAAATATCACCGCAATTATGGGCACCACACGGGAGATGCAACACCCATGGACATCCATACACGAATTGAGGTTAACGACAAACCAGAAGTGTCTCGGGTATACATACCCACCATTTCAAGAGGGCCAATTGTGGCTGGCAATTCAAACAGAGCCATAAATGGCTATGCAAGGGCTTACCGACGTAAGGCTTCCGAGATCATGGTGATGGAAGTAACTGAGAATCCACCCATCCGATCCACAGCAGAGAACGCGCCGATCACATTCTTCCCTGGAGACATGACGGGCATCACTTTCCCCCATCACGATCCCTTGGTAATCTCCGCCAAAATAGCCCATTGTAAGGTGGCTCATGTATTCCTAGATGGGGGTAGTTCCGTGAACATCGTCTTTCTCAATGCCTTCAAACAGCTAGGAGTTAGTGAGAGGCTCCTCGATTAACGCTGCCCGACCCTCGTAGCTTTTGGGGGAGGGCACATACAACCTCTCGACTACATGCATCTAACCCTATCAATAGGAGTGTACCCGAGGCAAACCAGCATCACTACGAATTTTCTTATGGCAGAGTGTCCTTCGTCATACAACGTGATCCTCATGCGCCCTGCTATTGGTGACTTGGACTTGTCGATCAACATGAGAGCACTGCTCGTAAAGTTCCCTACCCCCTAAGGGGTCAGTAGCGTTAAAGGAGATCAGAAATCCGCACTAACTTGTTATGCCTCCTCGGTCAAGCTAAAGACCAAACTGACATAGGCGGTGTCGTGTATGGAGACCTATAATGATGCTGACATGACTAGCCCCTTTATGGTTGACCCAAGAGAAGAGATTAGCCTAGTGAACCCACAATCGATCGAAGACCTCCAGCAGGTAGCACCCTTTCCTGAGTGTTCGGATCGGCTCCTCCAAATCAATTCCCAACTCACACCAATTGTTTAACAAGAACTTATCAGATTTTTAAAGGAGAATGCGGACATCTTTGCTTGGGCCCACCAAGATATGAGTGGCATTAGCCTGACATCAACACCCCCACCGCCTCAGCATCGACCCGTTCGCTAGAAACGTCATGCGTATGACCCCATTCGATATGCCGCAATGAAAATAGAAATGGACAAGCTACAGAAGAATAACTTCATTCACCCCGTAGACTACCCTTGACGGGTCTTCAACGATGTGATGGTTCGCAAGACAGAAGATAAATGGTGTATGTGTATCGATTTCACCAACCTTAATAAGGCATGCCCCAAGGATAGCTTTCCTTTACCCAGAATTGACCAACTAGTTGATGTCGCGGCAGGGCACGAGCTGGTAAACTTCATGGACGCCTACTCAGGGTACAACCAGATCCGTATGCACCCAGCCAACTAGGAAAGCACATCGTTCATTACCGATCGTGGCACATACTATTATCAGGTCATGCTGTTTGGCCTCCAGAACCTAGAGCCACATATTAATGTTTAGTTAACCGCATGTTTGCTGACTAAATAGGCTATGGAGGTCTATTATGACGACATGCTGGTCAAAAGTACCCGAGCCGACCAACACGCAGCCAACTTCCGTGTCACCTTCTCCATCTTACGATGTTATAATACGAAGCTGAACCCAACCAAGTGCTTACTCAGCTATCTGGTTAGCCACAGGAGTATCGAAGCTAACCTGGAGAAAATCCAGGCCCTCATCGGCATTACCCAGCCCAGAACCAGGAAGGAAGTCTAGAGTTTGACTGGGTGTGTGGCGGCGCTGAACTAGTTTATCTCAAAAGCTACTGATTGTTGCCTCTCCTTCTTCAAATCCTTCAAAAGAAATAAAAAGGTGGTAAACTGGACACCTGAGTGTGCCTCGACATTTGAAAGTTTAAAGGTACATATGGGGCTAGCCCCCATACTGTCCAAACCTAAAGTCGGGGACGTGCTGTCGCTATACCTATATGTCTCCTTCTTTGCGGTCAGCTTTGTGCTCACCAAAGACCATGCATGGGTGCATCATTCAGTGTACTATGTCAGCAAGGCGTTAATAGTTGGCCCTAACCTTGATCACCTCAACCCGGCACTTGCACCTTTACTACAAAGCTCACTCCATCCTAGTCTTGACCAACCAGCCACTTAGCTTGGTCCTGAGGAAACCAGACACTTAGCCTGCCTTATCATGTGGTCGGTGGAGTTGGGCGAGTTTGATCACTTACCAGCCCGCACTGCTATGAAAGAACAGGCCGTTGTCGACTTCATATCCGAATTCACACTGTCGGCATGCGGTGGCATACTAGAACCCTTGACTTCGGACTTAACCCTAGCACCAACAGCCCCAGACATCCTTCCTCCCACCAACCCTACTCCGCCACGATGGGCATTACACGTTGATGGCACGTCCAATCTACAAGGATGTGGAGCAGGCCTCGTACTCGTGTCCCCTAGCGGCATCACAATGGAATATGCCCTCCAGTTTCAATTCCGGGCATCAAACAATGAGGCTGAGTACGAGGCACTCCTTGCTGGCCTACGTCTAGCAAAGGAACTGGGGGCTGACTCATTTTCCATGTTCCAAGACTGCAGAGAAGTCTAACATGACATAATCTTGTCAACCACTGTGCCACCCTCACCTCCCTAAGCTTGGGCTATTATTTCTTGACAACCATGATATTAATAGTAATCCACATATCTTCAAACATAAAAATCTGATATCTCTTTCCTGTATTACTCATGTCGATAGCTTGTACAATCACCATAAGCCGAGCCTATTATGAATCGCCACGTGGCTATAGCAGATCACTTGTCTACCGGCCCAACTATACACGAAACATGTGTAACCATCGCCGACTTTCCCAGTTGAAGGGCAACGAACCCAAGGATTAGTCCAGTGGTCGGGTATTTAAAAGTCTACCCAACCACTAAGGCAAGCGTCCCCGGGCCTGAGGCTCTCTAAAAGACCAGCAGACCTGACCAGGCTCTTGTCAAGCTGATCAATTTTGTTCCTGTGCTACACAGCCTGGCTAACAAGACGATTGATTAAGTGTACGTCCCATCCTCAAACAGGTGTTGCCATATCCATTGATCTCTGAGTGAACAGGCAGGTGATGGAGAGGGATAATTTAATTCACCTCTTATCCTTGGTTGCTTGTCACTTCGCCCCCTGACCTCTGTCCAGTTGTATGGTGATCAGAGACAGAACATTCAATTCAACTTAGGCTAGGAAGACAGGAGATAAAGATCTTTTCTACAAAGTATCTTGATCCTCCCTTCTCCTTATAAATACCCTTCACCTAAACCAGGAGAAAGGTAATTAATCCTCTCATTGTCAAACCCCACATCCATTCTCCCTTATGCTCAAGTTAGTTTCTAACTTAACCATCTGAGAGGGTTAGACTAGGATCAGCCCCAGCCTGCCCTTATTCTAATATCATTCGAAGTGTGCAAATCTTCCTTCGGGGATTATTCATACCCAAAGGTTAAGTATGGGCTCAAGCCCCCAGATAAAGCCCAGTCATCTGTACGAAAAGGATACGCGGTTTACAACTCACTCTAAAGAGAAGTAAAATAGGCAAATGGTTAGGTACAAAAGAATTAATATAATGAGTACGCATATCTGGAATGGCCAACAACATCTCATCATTAGCCACAATCCTATCTAACCGGAGCTTTACATTCCCTTCACCTTGCCATCTATTTGTCTACGTAAACTTGTACCTTATATAATTGATCACCTTTAAGCCATCATCAAGAGCCTCACCAAACTCACGGATCTGTGACATAGGTCTAAACCTTCTTCCCCAATATTCGCTTGCCCGAGGATCTCATTAAAATCTCCACCAACTATCCAAAGCCCACTACCATTTCTACCCAATCTGCACAATAGCTCCCAAGAATGCTTTCGAAGATTCGTTTTAGGATAACTATAAAATCCCGTAAACCTTAAGCCTATTTGCTATACCCCTTCAATAAATGCATCAATATGACATTTGTTGAGTAAGACCCAAGGGAAACAGTTACCCTGTCCTACCAAAGTATAGCCAAATCTCCAGACATTCCAACACGACCGACATTGAAACACCCTTTCATTCCTAACTGTCTTTGTACTACCTCAATTTGAGACGTGTAGAACCCAAGGGAAACAATTACCCCATCCTGCCAAAGTATAGTCAAATCTCCAAGCATTCCAACAGGACCGACATTGAAATACCTATCATTCCTAACTGTCTTTGTACTACCTCAATTTGAGATGTCGTCTTCTTAGTTGTCACGGTTTTGGCCCCCCCCTCTATGCCACCACGGTTTAGTTTCTGGAAACTCATGAGCAACTGCCTAGTGGGTCACCCATCCAGGAATTGCTCTGCCCCAACTTGCTTAACTTTGGAGTTCCCATGACTCCGAAACCAGTGAGCTCCCAAAAGGCCTCGTGCTAAACGGAGGGGGGCATGTACATATAAGGCACATCATCTCCTCTCCATTGGTTGGTATCAGAGCATTATGTTTAATTTCCTGTGGACTTCATACCTTGTGTGCTTCCTTAGTAGCGTTAAGCGTCTAGTGATCCGTTCGAAAATGATGCCTTTTACATGGTTTTCAAAGATTGTCTTGTCCACGTGGATGATGCAGTGTTAGAAGCCGATTTGATTCCCTTAGACTTGGTTGATCTTGATATCATCTTGGGAATGGATTGGCTGGAAAAGCATAGTGCATCGGTAGATTCTTTTCGAAAAGAAGTCTTACTTAGAAGTCTAGGACAATTTGAAGTCGTATTCCATGGAGAATGTAGAGTTCTCTCATCTTGTCTCATCTCCGCCATGACGGCAAAAAGGTTACTCAAGAAGGAATGTGTGGGATACATAGCCCATATTATAGATACTCGTGGGGTCACTCTGAATCTGGAAGACGTTTATGTTGTTTGTGAATTTCCGGATATCTTCTCGGATGATCTTCTTGGTTTGTCTCCTCAGAGAGAAACCGAGTTCATTATTGAACTCATTCCAGGCACAAATCCAATTTACCAAGCTCCTTATAGGATGACACTGGCAGAGTTACGGGAGTTTAAGATTCAATTGCAAGAATTGGTTGATCTTGGATTCATTCGACGTAGTGTTTCTCCTCGGGTGCACCGGTGTTGTTTGTGAAGAAAAAGGATGGAACCGTGAGGCTATGTATCGACTACAGGCAGTTGAACAAGATGACAGTGTGTAACCGATATCCTTTGCCTTGAATCAATGACTTGTTTGATCAGTTGAAGGGTGCCAAGTATTTTTACAAGATTGATCTAAGATCGAGATATCATCAACTCAGAGTACGAGAGGAAGATATTCCCAAGACAGCATTCAGGACTTGTTACGGCCATTACGAGTTATTGGTGATGCCTTTCGGATTGACGAATGCTCCAGCAGCATTTATGGATCTCATGAACAAAGTTTTCCGCCCTTATCTGGATCGGTTTGTGATTGTGTTCATAGACGACATCCTTGTATATTCTCGAACTTTGGAGGGTCATAGGAAGCATTTGAGATTGGTCTTGAAGACTTTAAAAAGGAAGTAGCTTTATGCCAAGTTCAGTAAGTGTCAATTTTGGTTGGATAGAGTGGACTTTCTCGGACATGTGATATCATCAGGAGGAATCTATATGGACCTTCAAAAAATAGAAGCTGTTGTGAATCGAGTGCAACCCACAAGTGTAACATAAGTACGGGAGTTTTTTGTGGTTGGCAAGTTACTATCGTCAATTTGTGGAAAGGTTCTCTTCGATAACAACACCTCTTACTTGGTTAACGAGGAAAGATGTTAAGTTTGTGTGGACGGAAGAGTGTGAACAGAGTTTTCAAGAGCTAAAGAAGCGGTTAACCACCGCACCTGTTTTGGCTCTTCCGAATAACTCGAGGAACTTCGTGATATACAGTGATGCATCATTACAAGGCTTGGGATGTGTTTTGATGCAGCATGATCAGATGATTGCTTATGCCTCGAGGCAACTCAAGAAGCATGAGCAGAATTATCCTACCCATAACTTGGAACTTGCTGTAGTGATGTTCGCTCTCAAAATTTGGTGACACTAATTGTATGGTGAGATGTGTCAAATCTTCACAGATCATAAGAGCCTCAAGTACTTTTTTACTCAGAATGAGTTGAACATGAGACAAAGGCATTGGCTGGAGTTGATTAAGGATTATGATTGCACAATTGAATATCATACTGGCCGAGCCAATGTGGTGGCTGATGCTTTGAGTAGGAAGACTAGTGAAAGCCTAGCCCATCTCAGAACGGCTTATCTTCCATTATTGGTGGAACTACGGAAGGATGGAGTCGAATTGGGATTGAGTCAACAGGGTGGAATACTTGCTAGTTTGCATGTGAGACCTATTCTGATTGAGCGGGTGATTGCAGCCCAATTAGAGGATCCTACTCTTTGTATGATCAAATTGGAGGTGGAGAATGCTACACGGACTGATTATGCAATAAAAGAAGACAAGGCCTTTTGGGAGCTCATTGGCTTCAGAGTCATGGGAACTCTGAAGTTAAGCGAGTTGGGGCTAGAGCAATCCCAGGATGGATGACGCACTGGGAAGTTGCTCGTGAGTTCTCAGAAACAAAACCATAAGGGCAGAGAAGGGGGCCTAAAGCGGACAATATCATGCTATGATGAAGCCAATCCCAGGATGTGACATTGGTCTCCATCAAAAAAACAACGCAGGGCTTTTCAACTCTAAGGAAAAACCTTAGAACGCGGAATATATGTGGATTGCCCAAACCACACACATTCCAACAGAGGATCGTCATTTCTCGTGATGGGCCCATTCCGCAGGACCCATCACGGATTTTCTAGACATACCAGCCATTGTAGACTCCCCAATAGAATTACCTCGTTGCCTCACACAGTTCATTTTTTAACCTCGAGGACGTAACCCCCTTCCCCCTCTTGAACCCTTTTTTTCTAGATGAAGAAGATCCTTCGTGACAACAAGAGGAGGGAAGGGAGTTCACATTGTGCGTAGGACCGCGGGTAAATTCATTTGGCATGTTATCCAACACCACCTCTCTAGTTTGGGCCCTAGAATCTCCTTCTCGCGGCTTAGTCCCAAACTTATCGTCATAGGAACATCATAATGCACATCAATATCATCATATTCTTCATAATGAGGTCCTTCCCATACAGAATCATATGCCAACCTTCTCTTCTTGGAGAGGGACTCCTCAGAGACTTTGTGCATGGTATCATTTGAACCCAATGAGATATCTTTCTAAGTAGTGAAGGCCACATGGTGCGAACGAATAGTCCCTACAAGTGAAACCTGACTCGCTGAAGCCACCTCCTGACTATGCAACTCTTCACGCAGACCCAAGCTTTTTCCTGTCAAACCATTTGGAACATGAATACAAAAGACATTGTTTATCGACGCCTTCCACCTCCAATATTGCTCTTTGTCAATAACCCCTGAAATTTTTAATTCACACTCAGACCCGACGTGATCCAACCTAACACAAAATAAATAAGAAAAAGGAATTCTTTCATATTCTATTTCATAGGGTTTGGCAAGTTCATCCCCTACAAGTCTCAAAGTAACACAAAGTTTCAAAGGTTCCATCACCTTTAAACCCACTCAGATAAACAGGAAACTCCCCAAACAATCACCATTACGTCCCTTGTCTACCATAACAAAAGTCCCAATAAAATTCCCAATTTTTTCTCCCATTGTTGGAGTAAGGAAAAGAGGTGGGATACCCTTAACCCTAACTCAGAAATTTTGTAAGTCCAGCGAAATAGCATAGGGATGAATGCTACCATCAGTTGCCGACAATAACAATAAAGCCTTATCAAAAGTCCATGGTGACCCCCTCATCACCCAGTTACGATCGAGATCACTTTTGAATGAAAATAGAAGACATTTAGAGTCCTCCAAGGTAACAGAAGAGAACTCCTCATGTGTATGCCAAATACGTTTCAGCGTGCCCACCAAGGAATCCTTGTGATAGTCTTTAGTCATCAACAACCGCCCCACCAAGAGAAAGCGAGTTGCTTTTAGGCCATCGAGATCATCAACACCAACAACTTCGACAACCTCCGCATCAGAAACAGCAAGAGATCTGGTAAGCCCCCACTACAAGAAAAACAGGTATTAGTGGCCACCCACTTGGTCACAGTAACTATCCTTTTTGGTCACTGAATGCAATCATTGTCCAAATATTACTGGTCATTGGGTGGTCACTAGAAGCTTGTCACAAATTCTATTTAGTGGCCAATGTCAACTATTGGTCACTACAACACAAAGAATTAGTGGCTATCCCTGTCTGGTCACTAATAAAAACACTATTAGGGACCACAAATTTGGTCACTAAAGGGCTTATAATTTGGTCACTAAAACTGGGTCATGTGCCCACATTAGTGACCTACTTGCTTGGTCACTAATGTTTTTCAAAAAATTGGTAACTAATTAGGTTTACCTCTCCATGTTCTTTATTTATTGTATTACAATATGAAATCACAATTAATTTCTTTTAAACAGTGTTGTATATAAAATTTATAGCATCGAATAATTCATTGCAATCAAAATCAATCCATATATCTAACATTCTTCCAACAAATTCACAAGATGTCTCAAATTCACATTTACAAAATAAAAAAACGTATAAAAATATTTTATACATATAATTTATTATTGCGCGACGAAGCTCTTCGTCGCGCAAAAAGTATATGCGCGACAACCACTCTTTCCTCGTGCAATATATTTTGTCGCGCAAATGTTAGGGACACATAAAGCGCGACGAAATATCGTTCGTGGTGCCAAATCTGCGCGACGAATATTATTTGTCGCGCACTGTTTCGCAACGAACATTAGTTCGTCGCGCAAAGGTTTGTGCGACGAAGAGGTTTGGCGTCCCTAAACCTTTCGTGCAACGAAGGGTAAACCGTCGCACAGTTTTGCATGACGAATGCAAAATATTGGTCGCGCAAAGTCTTTCTTCACACTCTTTGCGCGACGAATTTTCTGTCGCGCAGACATTTGTGCGACTTAATGTATGTTTGCGCGACGAAACTCTCTTCGTCGCGCAAACCGTAAAATGTAGTAGTAGTGGTTTCCCATCGTCTATTTCGATTTTAATAGTAGTGAGAATTCATTGTTGGTGCATGTTGTAATTAACAGATTCAATATCTTCTTGTACTGTTGATTTATTCGAGTCTAATTATCAAAGGTGTGTTAGTTGGATTAGCCCAAGACTTTGGTGTGCTCCCAAGTATTGTGCGAAAACACTCCAAGACCTTGTCGTTGATGAACTATACGTTGGCACATACACAAATCCCTTTAGAATAAAACACACACACTGAAGAGAGAAAGCAAACACACACAAGAACGCAAAGATTGATTGAGGTTTGGTCTCCTGCCTACGTGCTCCTGGTGAGCCACCCGAGAAATTCACTGGTATGTAAGAACAACTTTGGTTACAATCAAGAACCCCCTTAGCTCTCACAAGAACCTAGCTCTCTTTTCTCTCACTTTTGCTCAAACCTTGATGCACTTGAAAAAACACCCTAGAATTCCCCTTTGAATTCTCTTGTGTTTCTCTCTTGAAAACTCTCTCTTGAATTTTCCTATCTTATTTAACCTAGCCCTAAAAGTCCTATTTATAATACATACGACTTTTGCTACAAGTTAACTAGGAATAGGAAACTAAAACCTATTAAATTAGGCTAGAAAACCCCAAAATAGTAGGAAAAACTATCCTAAAACGCCAAGGATTCGCAACGTCTCTTGAGCACTTGCACTTCCGCTTTTGCTCGAGTGTCTGGGTCTGGGTGAAAAATCATCTATCTATTGCTTGAGAACTAAAACCCAAAGCACTATTCTGAAACTCCTATTTCTATCGTTACATTTTCGTCTTTTTGCATCTATGGTGAGCCAACTTCAACAATCTCTACCTTGGCGAACCATTAATCACCTATGAACCATTGTTGACCCCTAGAACATCTTCAACGTCTTGGAAACCGTTCTAGTAATTCCTAAGAGCTCCACCATGTCAAGAAGCCTCCTATCTCAACGCACCTTAAGTGAGAAGATGCTCCACCCAATGCTAAACTTGGGCCATCCGGATGTGTTGTGTAGAAAAGAGATCCCGCATGTCGAACTCCTTGCTCTTCGCGCTTCTTGGAACCTTGAATTTTTAATATGCCTTGATACGCAAACCACATACTCATATCAGAAGAACTAAATAAATCACTCAAATGCCTTGTACTTCTATATTCCAAAAGTATATTTCAAGCCGGTCCTGAATTTTTAGGGTCCATGGCTAATGTAAAATTAGGCCCTTATATATATATATATATATATATAATTTTTTCTTTTTCACCGAAGTGCTAGACTCAGTCTCATTTTAAAATCAAGATTTAACTTATTCAAATGAACTAAAAATTTAACATTCAAGACAAATAAATTATATGAATTCAAACTTCAATATATAAAAGTCTAAAATAAGAGGTGAAATTCCCTAGAATGGCCAACTGATCTGTTTCTTAATACTCAAACACCACGACAGGATTGAAATACTGTAACAATCTTGTAAGCAAAAAATTCCAGAATACGCAGCAGAATAACTCAAATAAAAACGCAAACAATTGCACAGGGGACACACGATATGTTGACGCAATAAAAAACCTCAAGATGAGGAAAACAACTGCGGGCACTCTGCCGGAGAACAAATCACTATGAGAAAGAATACAAAAAGGTCTTACAAGTCTCAACTCACAAGACTAACGCTCACAAGGCAGACTTGCCTACTCGCCTTTGCTACTCAACCCAACCAGCGATCTTGTCTTCCTTCGTCAACAAGAGATGGCACAACTCTAGTCTCGGCTGCTCACACCTCAAGGCACGATTGTTGATCACCAACATGCATAATGCTCATGAACTCACACATATATGAAAAGATGATTATTTAATCACTCATGGAGGCTAACAAGGAACAACCACATGAGTTTTCAATATGAACTCTCAAAAACCTCTCTGCAAATATTTTGTTCTTCTTCTTCTTTTTTAATGTTGCAGACACACCAACAAAAAGGCTAAGTTCCTTTCTTTTATTACACGCTTAAAACTAGGTCAGAGACCAAAAAAGGCTTTTAGCAAAAATGGGCTTTTTAACAAATAAATTATTTCTTTAAAACAAATAAAGCCACTTAATTAAAAACCCAGCCGAAAAGACAAAAGAGCCATTTTGCTTAACTAAGCACCAATCTAAAGAATATAAAACCATCGTTAAAAAACTCATTGATGTCTGGCACTGGATTATATAAGACTGAAATCATATATCAGTCATATACATCTTACAGCCACTTTTGATGATCAAGCAAATATGAAAATATGAATGCATGGATGCAAAACATACCTTGACATTGTCTTTGAGCCACACTGATCCAGGATAGCAAAATGTCACTTGAAAACTGTAGGTTACACTCAAAGACCTACTCTATGTTTTTGTAACAGGAAAATTGCCAATATACCAAAAATTGGTCCTAAAGAGGCTAAGTTTGATACATTCAAATTTAATGCATAAACAAGATAAATAATTGTGACAATTCAATAATTTATTTTTCTTTTTTGACTTCCAAATTGTTGTTTTTCCAGGAATTATAGCTACTTGAAATTAGAAACAGTAGAAGAAAATCCAATGAAATTTTAATACTTCAAATAACAAACGAAGAACAACATAAATGGATAGTGTTTGGACATTCCTCCTCATAGACAAATTACAGTTTTATACATAGGCAAAAAAAAAAACTCATTAAAATTACAAAAATCTTACAAACTATAATTTGTTTGTAAGGAGAAATAACTCCTCATATGTAAAGAGTCAAGTATTTTTTACTTTTAATTGAATGCAAACTAAGAACTGTTCTTTTTGGTCAGTTTAGCATCTATCAATGTATTTTTCTGAGTAGCATCCATTGAGCATGCATGATGAACGACTTGCACTTGTCTCCTAGTCGGCAATCAAGTCAAGCTGCCCAGGTCCAAGTCCAATTCGACAAGTAGTTATTTCATGACCACGACACTGCTCACACGTTTTAGTGATGCGTGCTGCCTTTTCTACTAAATGATTGATCAAAAGATTTACAGCTTCCTATATGAGGTATTAATTATTTGGATGTTTTTATGAACTTTCTGTATAAATCTTGTAAGGAGTTTGTAATTTGAGAGCAGTTATCCTTATACTTGAGATTACGTGTTCAAATTCTCAATATACTAATATCAATTATTTAAAAATAAAAAAAAATTATACATAACCCAGATGACACATTTTATTGGTCATCTTCATAAGTATGCAACCTTCTCATTTGGACTTTTCTTCCTCAAAGACAAGTGGTGCAGACAGCGGTGGACCCATAAATTTTTCAAGAAAGGGGCAATATTTCAAAGGTTAAAAGCACCATATTAACAAATTCACCATGTTAATTATATACAAACTAACAAGCTTTAATCAAACCACAGCAATCTTTATTAATTAATTAAAAACTAAAAATATATACAAATAAATAAATTGAAAAAATCTATACAAAATAACAAAAACAAAAACTCAATCAATTAACCAAAACCCAACAATCCATCTTAATTATTTAAAGCATAAAGAGAAATTACTTTAAAATTTGAGGGATAAATTAATTTTCCAAACAAACAGTGGAGGGTTGGTCTATTGGTGGATGACTTATCTCTTGTGGTTTAGGAGCTGCCATGGCTTATGCCCACTTTACAACGCTTCTTTTGCCTCTAAAAACAAATGGGTTTCTACCAAATGAATCAAAGAATACAAGATGGAGAGAGATCCTTTCAGAGTTTTGTTGCTTAATGAATGTAATGGAAGTTGCTTGTACCAATTGAGAGAGTGAGAGATAGTCAATGATAATTAAAAAAGCACAAAGAGAAAAGCTAATGGATGATGGAGGCAAAGGAGGATTGAGAAAAAAGGAATGCGGTTGGGGAGTTGGCCGGTGTGGGTAGTGGTGATTCAGGTGTGGAAGGATAGGGTTAAGAGTTGGGGAGGGTTTATTTGGGGTATCCAATTTCGATTGAAACTCATTTGAGGAAGGGGTATCAACCTTTGCGTAGCTGTTGGCCCTTTCTTTTCATTTTATAATAATAATTATTATTATTTGGTTTCACTTGGAACAAAACTATGCATTTTGAAAAAAAAAAAAAAAAAAAAAAAAAAAAACAAGCCCTGCTCGCTGCAGCCTGCGCAAAGGAGCTTTTACCTGGAGCTTACATAAAGAAATAAGTTTCTCTAAGAGAAGTGTGTCTTAGTTTCTCCAACTGGTCAGTTTCCTCAGATTTGCGCCTATTGCTATTCAAAGCATAATGATGCAAAGGTTGTATCTCTTGAACTTACACTAATTCATAGATACGTTGTTTTATTATGGGTAGATTGAGTTTTATATAAATCAAGCACCCTTCATCAACCT